AGCTACAACAGTAATACCCTCGCCTCGCATTCTCATGGCCTCGCCATATCTTGGAGATTTCGAAATTTCGGCCCGAACGGAAGCCACAAAGGGTACACGTGTGCACACAAAAGGAAGATTAATCATTGAATCTCGAGTATTTGAATAGCGTTTTGTGTAAACTAATTCATGCGTGATCGGCCAAGTGCGTGTGTGCGTGTGTGTTTATTTTTTCCGGAATTTTCAGAAAAGTCCACTTTCATCTCTGAATAACAAATGTGTTCATCATTCCTTTAATAACACTCTCGCCCAAATGCTTGTGCTGAGTATCTATGCTATAGGGATCTGTGGTCCTTAAAACGGGTTCCTCGCTTTCTCGATGAATCTGACTCATTGACGGGGTACGTAATTCAAGAGTTAAAGCAAATGCATGCCTGAGTTTTAATTTTGCCCAACTTGATGTGTTCCAGCTGATGGAGATCCTCATTTTGTGCTCCAGTTGCCAAAGCAGCAGCAGAACTTGTGTTTCACCGTCGATGGCCGACCTAACGATGTGCTAAGGCTGGTGGAGGACCCTCAGAGAGGTTATTTCATTCTTCGGTCGTTAATCAGCTAATTCAGGGTTCTCTGTGTGTGAGACATTTTCATATTATTTGATAATAACAATCAAGACGTCTAAAAAAAACAAACGTATGTTTCTAATGTAGCATTGTTAGTTGAAACTGTGATGCTTGAAGTCTTATTTTTATTATTTGTTTCATTTCTATTGTAGTTATTGATGATTTAAAATTTGAGGCGATAATAAGCAAAGTAATTTGAGATGAATACACAAATTTCGTGGCAGACCAATGCAAATGTTATCCAAACAACAGGATTTCTTCAACCCGTGTGGGAAAGCTCATACACAATGAGAGCGACAGAAAATTTGGCCACAGCTGTGTTGCTAGAACCCACTGACGGAGCAAATGGTGGTGACCCACTGAAAATGCTTCTTGAGTAATGGTAAAGACAACTTCATAAAATTCCTGTGAGTTGCACACTTGCATGCATTCCCCTTCAAACTCTTCAGAAACAGCTGCCTCAAGCATCCTAACTACACATTGAACCCATTACATTTCTATATTCATAATAACGGTAAAGACATGCAATTGTTGTGACACTTTCACCAATTCTTACATATAGCTTACAAATAACAGCATCCATTTTGCCGTCTGCTATTGCTTGAATGCCTCATGGCTGCCACATCCTGGCACGTCTGAACACAGGTCCTTCTGATGTATTGCAACAACATCATAAGGCGCCTTCCAGTAGCATTAACTGACAAAACAGCATGAGTGACAAAGAAGGACCATGACTACAAGGGAAAAAAAATGGAGCTCTTAAGACGTTAAGATGCTGCAGTATGTTTTTATCGTTATTGATCAAATTGTATGAAAATGGCCCATATGCTTGCTTTTGGTTTTTGTGGGTGTATAACAGAGTCTGTCACACCTTCAAGGAATCACAGTGGACGGCCACCTGACTGGAGCTCCCCCGAAGCGCGGCCACGAAAACCGCTCGCGAACGTACTTTGATCGGCTGAGCATCTCGGCAGCCGCTGGGCACGCGGGCATCATCGCGATCACGGTGTCGTTGGAGAAGGTGGTGGTCGAAGGCGAAGGGCGCGAAACTCTCACCGTCAACCGAACAGGATCAGTGACGAGGCAGGGCGTGACGGTTGACGTGGACAACCACCAGGGCTGCTGGATCGAGCTGGCGGACGATGTCCGCTTTCTGGTTCTCTTTCACCACTACAAGCACCCCAGCTACCTGCAGATGGCGCACTTGGGCTTCTACATCACTCGTGGACTGGGGCTGTCTGCCTCCACTGGAGGCCTGCTGGGTAAGCTACAGACAAGCAAGCCAAACGTTTTCTCCGGGGTCACGTGGCGGCTCTAGAAAGTTTTACCTGGGGTGGCAGGAGGTTCATGCACACGCATTCGTGCGCGCGCGCGCACACACACACACACACACACACACACACACACACACACACACACACACACACACTCTTTGTTCAGGTTTCATTTTCTGCATTCTCTGTGCATGTTTTATGCATATCACACGAGTAACATAGCTTAAGAGACAAGATTAGAGAGGGGAGCGATCAGTCTTGTTATTTTGTCTGGTCAATTGTGTCCAGACATGTTATTCTTTATTCAATTTGTGACAAGACATGTTTTAAAATTAGGAGAGTGTTCATTTTGTCAAAGAACAAGGCAGGCAGGCTGAGAGAGAGAGAGAGAGAGAGAGAGAGAGAGAGAGAGACAGAGCGAAAACTAGTAATAGAGAGAGGCTACAGTACAGTATTTACCCCCAAAGATGCCTGTTTGACAGTTATCTCTGACCATGAAATGGGGCTAATGTTAGCCTAAACACCAACAAAACAACAACGAACCTTTGCACCTGTAAGGTGTCTTGTCTTTTGACGAATGAGTTCAGCCGCCAAAGCACTGGAGATCTACTCCCTCAGCGCCTCTTGTTCAGGTTGCAAAAACTGGTAAAAACACAAACTTGGGAGGGTTGAATTTGGAATGAGCTCAATGACACAGTTGTATGGTCGATGAGGAGATGACTGAGTGAGGGTCTCTACTAAAGACTATTATTCAGTCATGATATTCTTCCGGAACTTGATTTGGATGAATAATTTCAGTGGACAGTGCGATGGATGGTTTATGTTCGGGCTCTGCAGACCTTCGTGGGCGTGACAAAACAGACTCCAATTCTCTATAGATGGGAGACTCCAATTAATATCTGGATTATGCATCTTCATTCATGGTAACCCTAACTAACACTATCGGAGCGGCGCGAGATGGCATGACGAAAAACCTCCCGACATGATTTCCTGAAATGCCTAACTGAAGAGGACACATAATAAATGTAAGGAAAGAAGATACAGGTGCGCCCTTGAAGAAGGAACGCCCTCCACTCCAGCTAGTGCTGAAAACAAACGGAAAAAAAAAAAGAAAGACAAACAGACAGAACAAAGCCATGACAGAAACAGTGATTTCTAACATAGCGTTTCCATTCTGTGTGCAGGCCAATTCCAGCATGCTGCCATGAGCGTAGCAGCTGTGAGCGATTATCATCACAGTGAAAACAGTGACGGAAAATTGGTCCAGGGGGTCCTGAGGCGTGGCACTCAGCTACTGCGCGTCACCTTGCAGGACAAGATGCTGAAAGACACGCTACTCAGGCGACACGTGGAGCAGTGCTGGGTGGTGCCCAAGTCGGAGGTGGAGCGACTGCTCGGTCAGCCGTACGCCCGCTACGTAGTGGACGGCGTGTAGTCGTAGCCCAGAGGGGTCCTGCCCTGCCTCAGTGGAGGTGATCGTGACATTGTTACAAAAAAACTGGCGCTCGACCAGGCTACGGCGTTGTCACATTTTTTTTTTTTTTGGTGACAATCCGCGTTTCTCTGTGCAGCGGTGGAGAGAAGATGACAGACTATATGTGCAAATTCGAAACAAAGTGCCTTAACCGTCACTGAACTGCATCATATGAGCCAGGGGTGTCAAACTCTTTTGCGCTCAGGGGCCACATTCACCCCATTTTGATCTCAAGTGGGCTGAACCAGTATACCTGTGGCTTAAGAAACTACAAATAACAACTATTCCTATTTTTTTAACCATTGTTTTGGTGCAAAGTCACTCCTGAAAATATTTATATTTGTTTATTATGTTTTCCAAATCATAAAGGCAACTTGAAATATCTTCAGAAGAACTTTTGCCGTTTCAACAGAGAAAACTAAATTCTCAATCAGTTTTTTTCCCCCATTTCCACATGTGCAACTTACAGATCAAAGTGGATCTATGAACTGTACGTGCCTTTTATAAAACAACTATTAAAGATACAGAAACAATTTTAAATGTGCATAGATTTTCGCATCCGTCTTGACGACATCCATCCTCACAACATAACAACCTCAAGTGGGAAAGTTGTCCCCCTACCTTGTAAATGTAGACAAATATATCAACAAGTTGGGGCGGCGCATGAAAATAACAGAAGGGTTCCACCAAACCACCCTGTGATGAAATGCTGGCGTTGATTGAAATTTTGCAGCATTCATTTCTTCAAAGATTTCTCAAGGCGTTGTTCCTTTGAACAGAACTGTAATGACAGTGGCTCACTTTTAGTCTTCCCAATTGCCTCAATATCAGGCATTTCAGAATCTCGTTTAAGTGGTAAGTGGTCATTGAAGAGGTCGTCAGGCCGCCCTTCGGGATACAAAATACTCCCAAAAATTGCAGTTATTGCGTTCTCTAAGCCAGCAGGCCGGATTGGACCTCCTGTTGTCTGGTTCTGGAACGCAGGCTGTATGTTTGACACCCCTGATTTTAAGCCGTACATGTTAGCCATCACGTGCGGCAGCAATAATCATGTGTTTGTTTTTGTCCCATCGCAGCAAATCAAAATCACTTGCAATCAAGTCAAGCAACATTGAGTATGAGCGCTCCTGTTTTCTTGTTTTAGTAAACGTGCATAAGGAGAATTATTGTATGCATCCATTGGTTTTATCTTCGAAAAAAAATGGTAGACCATTTTTACAGATTTCGCCATGTGTTTTTTTAATTTTTTTCTATCATTTCATTCATAGTTTAATTCATTGTATTTGTTACACAAGACATTAGGCATTGTTCACATACTAGTGATCAAACAAGGACAGTAAGTTTTCTACCACTCGGCCTATTTCTTTAGTCAATTGAATGGGAAATTGTCAATAAGTTGGTCTCAAAGGCCAAACGATGAGAATTAAAACAGTACAACCACAGGTGGGCCTTTTTGTTTTCAATAAATAATAAAAGATGTTATAGCACTTGATGCTAAGGAAGGCAGGGCAATATATTAATGAGGAAAGAGTATTCCAGTTATTTTCAGGTCACATTTGTCCACCCACAAACAGTGTTGAGTTCAACAAAGAATAAACGGTGTGAAGTCGGCAAAAACACAACTGTTCACATTGGGACTTGGGCGCTAATACCGTTTTTTTTTTCAATCCAAGCCTGACAAACATCAGATGGAAGGATGGCTGGAGAAGGTCAAATGAAACACAGTTCATTGCTCCGTATTTGTGTGTGAGTGCGTTGCAGAACAAGTCAAATGACGGTACTGGATTGAATCATGAATTTGAATAAATAGGGAATAGAATGAAGACATATACTCAGCCCCTCCCATGAACTCTTTATAGGGTTGCCGAGTGAGCGATTGCGAAAGGAAACGATTCGAGAGGGCGGAAGCGCAAGTGAGCGAGCGCCGTTAAGAGGAACGTAATAGCCCAAAGATTTGAATCAAACCCCAAATTAAGGCTTCAAGCAAATACTGGCGTGTCGGTTTGTTGTGGGGCGGCACTTCTCTTCGGCGTTGTCTTTGTGCAGGCATCTCACGGCCCTCTGTCACCAAACTCACACATTCACTCGGCACATTCATAAATATTGGGACTTGGACACGCTTGTTGTCTTTTTGGCTCGAAACGCCTCCAGAATGGATGCGAAATGAAACCAAAAAGGTGTGCAGACTTTCAGCTTGAATTTGAGGATATATACATCCAAATCAGGTGCCAACGCTGCCCGTGTGTCTTTTTGCCTCCTTAGCAAACGTAATGGCCCAGTTGGCTGCTCAGCTGCTCCACGGCTCGGTGGGCATGTATGGGTGCCAATCTGAATTTCTTGATGATGTCACCGCTGACAAACGCAGCAATTCTGAAGTGCTTCGCTAAATCCGTCAGAACGTATTGAAAGGCCTGCGCTTCACAGTGCTGATGGGAAATGATCCGGAGTGTTTTTCGAGAGCGCCGAAAGAGTTTTGGAAGCCAATTCACCGATAGAGGATGCATTTCGCTGACTGAATTGACTAAAGTGAAGGCAAAATGCCCCAAGCAACAAGCAGGAAGGGAAGACAGTTGCAGCCACCAGGGATGAAATCTGCTGATGACGCCTTCCACACTTCAGCTTTTATGTGACTGCCGAGGATTTGCAACCAAAGTATTCAAAAGTCAAAGTTTGACTCGGGATTCTTCATTTGTCCCGTTACTTTTGCTTCCTTCAAAAGTGGGAGGCACACGCGGATACAAATTGTTGTCATTCCTACAGTGGGGCCCACCTGATTTGGATGTAAGACCCCCAAATTCAAGGTGAACGTCTGCAGTTCAATCACATCGTATTGCTTTGATTTCAATTCCATTATGGTGGTGATTAGCCCCAAAAAGTTGCCAATTGCGCCCGCGTCCCAACGGAGACAAATTCCTTGTGTGTTCTACATACTTGGCCAATAAAGATGATTCTGATTCTGATTCTGATTTAGCCTCCAAGTGACTGACTCATCACATTGAACTACGGGGAGGATTGGAACAACTGGGACACAATTGGGCACTTTCACCTTCTGCCAAAATTTCAGTCTTCATTCACGTAAGAGTGAAACTTCCCACAAATCTATTGAAAACCTGATCACATCTGTCATTTCCGACTGCCACAAAAACAAAAAAGTCTCACCTCAGTCTTATTTCCTCTCAACAGCATTTCTGCTCAAGTACAGTTTGAACCTCGCCTCTGTAAACGTCATAACTTCAGCCAGTGAAAACGTGCACCAAATGCAAACAAACAAACAAAAACCTCTCGAATCGTCTTAAATGTTAGAACTACTGCCATGGTAAAAGGGATGTGACATGTAAACCAAAGGGCTTCTTTGCACGGGAGTGACAGAAAAGAGCCAACCGGTGAACTGGCCTGCTAGCGCACGTGGGAACACGACAGCGTGGCAAATTAGCACATCGGTTGACAGAGCCATTTACAGAAAATGCGTGTCGTTTCGCCCCAAGTAGGACTGGCGTGTAGTACGGATGAAAGCAGGGCTGACAGGTGCCGCGCACGGTCCGGCATTCGGGGCGCCGGCCGTTTTGATTGCACAATACTACTGCGTGTGACTACGATGCATGCACGTGAGCCTTCCAGAAAATTCTACACGAAGCTGTTATGTGAGATGAGAGAAAAGATGGAAGAAAAATCATGAAATGCTTCAAACCTGCCTCCTAAATGGACCTCTACTGACAAGACGTGATTATAGATTCTACAATGAAATGAAGGACCGTATCAGCCCTGCTTTTCGGCGACTGTGGAGTGTGTACGTTTGTGTGCGTGTCAGGAGAGAGGGGGGAGCGGGCGTACAAGGAAAAGGGGGCAAAAGGCGGGCACAGCACTTGTTTTACGCCGCCTTCATTCCAACCTTGCCATCGACCCCCTTTTGCCTCCTTCCGATGCCGCCGCCTCCCACTCGAGCGGGCCGCTCACTGTTCGTCTTCCCCGAACACGTCGTTCTGTTTGCGCTTCATGTTCTCAAAGTCAAAGTCGCTGCCCGTCATGCGTTTGTAGATGTCCTTGATGTCGTTGCAGGTGGTCTCAAAGTGAGTGGTCGCGTCGTAGGAGCTGGAGGCGAAGATCTGGCAAGACATGCGAGGTTATTGTTGTTGTTACGACCAATCCATCTAGAGGTGTGACAATTGATCGTTTTTGGATGACAGTGTTCGGTGATTGATATTTATATGATTCATAGGGAATATATGAAAAAAAAAGTTCAATCTATTATGAAAATAATTGTTATTTGCAGCTGAAGAATTGAATGACCTGTGACTGACATGTAGTTGAACCTGTAACGCCCTCACAAAACAAATAAGTCGCCTTCCTCGGCATCAGTCAAGAACCAAGAAGTCGCCCTCACTTTCCAAATGGTTCACTACATCTCTCCCACTCGTGCTATATCTTGCCATTGTTTTTTAATTTGGTTTTGTTTCATCATCAAAACTATATACACCTAATAAACAGTAATAATCAGTGAAGAAACAGAGATTCGGAAAAAAATATTATTTGTATCCAATGAATATAACTGATAGAAGAATCAATTCTTCTATCAGAACATATACTCAACATCCCTCGAGATAATCTCACCTGGCTCTCCGTGCCGTCATCCGTGGGCTCGTAGAGATCGCTGATAGCCACAAACCTGCAAGAAACCAATCGCTCACTGAGATGGTTCTCCAGCCGAACGTCGATTACAGGTAGCCATGAAAAAGGAAGGACTTACTTTTGGTCAATGGGCTCCAGCAGCTCAAAGGCGGGCTGGATCTCGGACTCCGGCTCATTGGTTTCCACCGTGGTGCTGACAATGGCGATGTACTTCCCCTGGGCCGCCACGTTGTGGGCATAAGAGATCATGCACACGTAGATGTCTGCACAAAGGACCAGATTGTCTCAATTCACACTATTTTACAGAGCACATTTCACAAGAGCATTGTAGCTCACAGTGCTTCACAGTTCAAAAAACAAGAACCTCGAAAGGAACAAATTAGCATTTCAATCCATAACAAAAAGCATAAAACAACACTCAAAGAGTTTTAGAACCTCTGTTCTAGCGGAGATCTCAGCTAGATAGTTGCTGCCGATTTACTGATAAACAAATTGAAGCAGTCGTAAAATTAAAAATATATATATTCCAAGAATACAATACAATGACATCTTGGAGGGCTAATAGTTGATTGACAACAGTCGGCAATATGATTTGGTCAGAGCCCATGACGTGATGTATATCCAAAGAGAAGGACCTTCAAGTCAATTCCAGATGTTACAGGAAGACACCATAGCGCACTGATGTGCTCACTCGTCCGAGTTCTACTCGTAAACAACCGAGCAGCAGAGTTTTGAAAAAGTTGCAGTCTCTCTCTCTGGCACTTTTGGGGGACCAGTAAAAAGTGCATTACAGTAGTTCCAAGTCTGCTCGAAATGAAGGCACGCATTAAATTTTCAGCATCTTTAGATTTTTCTCAGTTCCCGCGCTTCAACTACGTTCCTGCGCTGGAAGAATGACGTCTTTATCACCTTATTTACGTGGGACTTGAAGTGATGATCTGAATCTCATACAAATTTCATCAATGGCGCTAATTTCCCCGGATTTGATAACTTTGCGGTATGATGCGAAGCCATGTTGATTTCGAGTGACGCTCACCAGAGTTGCGGTTGACCTGATTCTGAGGGATGATGATCTGGCAGGAGTTGGCGTCGTTGGTGTTTTTGATGGGATGGCTGAGGATGCAGATGACGCGGATCACCTGGCCCGCCTTGCGCACGCGGTCGGGGATGTAGCTGGGGTCGCAGATCAGCTGCTTGCAGCGAGCCACCTGGAGCAAAGTTCACTTAAATCATTCCTATGACTTCTGTTCAAATGACAGGTTTCTGAGATACAAAAAAAAGGATGAATCTTTTCAAAACGTTTTTCAATTAACTTTTTCTGAGAGCGGAGGTCAACGTAATCAACTGAGATGACGTGGTTGCACAAAGTGTGCGCACCCTTTTCGAAATCAGATGTGACAGTGTTTAAAATGTGAGTCAGCGCACACCTGCCACCATTTAAAGTGCCTCGGTTGTTCTATTAGGCTTTCTTTTTTGAAGCTTTTGTCCAACCACTGACTCATCTTTGGAACTGTTTATAATCGACCATACCTCGCCTTCAGACTTGACGCCAATCACGTGGCCGCCTTCAATCACAATTTCATCCACGGGCTTGTTCAGCATGTAGGTGCCTCCGTAGATGGCGCTCAATCTAATGAGAGTGAAAAGGGACTGTTCACGCATGCCCATCCGTATGAAACAGCAGATAAATGAACATTGTCACGGCACCTGGCAAATCCCTGCGGCAGCTCTCCAAGGCCGTACAAGGGGTAGAGGTACGGGCTCCTCCCGTAACGCGCCAGTGACTCGCTGTACAGTTTGATTCGGTTGATAGTGTCCAGGCAGGGGAAATCAAGGTACCTGATGACAAACATGAAAACAGATTCGATCATCTTGAACCCCTTTTGCTGCATTGGACGTTTAAGCCTCAATCCCTGGCTGGTACTCTGATTTTTTTTGGGGGGGGGGGGGGAATAAACTATTTTTCGAAAGTAATATATGTGTCTTGGGTCAATGAAGGCGGCCAATGTAAAACGTGTGAAAATTGTTGTGTCAGTAGGGCCCAGGGGACCCGTGC